CCCACAAATGTGATCCTTAACAATTTTCTCAAAGGTCTTGCAAAGGATAGAGGTAAGACTAACCAGCCTATAGTTACCCAGTTCCTCCTTCCTCACCTTCTTGAAAATAGGGGCCTCACTGGCCCTTTTCCAATCCTCTGGGACCTGTCCTGACCACCACAAGTGCTCAAACAATTGTGCCAGCAGCTCTGCTATGGCTCCGGCTAATTCCCTAAGTACCCTAGAATGAAGCTTATCAGGATCTGTTGACTTAAATATGTTCAACCCCTCCAGGTGCCCCTTTACTAAGTCAGCATGAACAGTTGGTGGGTTGGTATCTATCTTGCGCTTACCTAAAGTCCCATTGGGATGTGTATTTGTATTCATGTCCAGGAACATGGATACAAAAAAATCATTTAGAAGCTCCACTTTGGCCATCCTATCTGTTACCAGTTGCCCTAGTTCATCCTAAAGGGGTCCTAAGTTACCCACCTCTTTGGCTTCTTTGCTTTTTTGCTCCCTTTTATGTGTATTGGGATGATCCTTTTCTGTGCCTGCAGGATTAATCCCACCCTTCCTGGACTCCCATCTCTCCCAGGCTTTTAACAATCAGTCCCTCCCTAACTAATCTCCTGAGCTTGTTGAAGTTGGTCTTCCTGAAGTCTAGCACTTCTGCCCTACTAGTTATCATCCGCACCTTTCTCCAGACACCATCAATAGGTGGTCACTATTCCCTACGTTACCTTGCACCTGCAGATCCCCCACCAAGTCATCCCCTGTGGCCAGTACCAAGTCTAACTAGCCAGGCAGCTTTTCATTGACAACCAGCAAGCAGTCTTGGGCGTGGCATCAGAACATATGATCAGGTTACTTGCCCCCTGGATGGGGGAAATGAGGTTGATGTTATATACCTGGACTTCAAAAAGAACTTTGACTTGGTCTCCCACGAAGTCCTCATGAAAAAATTGGGAAAATGCAGCCTCGGCTACTTTATGGTCTTGTGGCTACTGTGGTAGGACCCAGAGAGTATTGATTGACAGAACTGAGTTGTCATGGCAGAGGGTGATCAATGGCATCCCTTAGGGTTCAGTACTTGGACCAGTGCTTTTCAACAAGTTCATCAACAATTTGGATTCGGGTATTAAAAGTGAACTAGCAAAGTTCTCTGATGACACCAAGCTATGTGGGGTGTGTGGTCACACTCAAAGACAGGATGGCAACATAAGCTGACCTGGACAGGCTTGTGAGATGGGCGGACCTCAACAAGATGTCACTTAATACGGAGAAATGTAAAGTGCACCATCAGGGGAGAAATAATCCCCAACACACTTACGGGCTGAGCAGTGCTACGCTTGGTAGCATCACATCTGAATGAGACCTGGGTGTCGTGATAGACAACAAAATTAACATGAGCCACCAGTGTGGTGCTGTAGCTGGCAGAGCTAATCAAACACTGGCATGCATCTACCGAGGCATCTCGAGCAGGCTAAGGATGTCACCCTCCCTCTCTACTCGGCCTTGGTGAGACCGCAGCTGGAGTTCTGCATCCAGTTCTGGGCACTGCAATTCAGGAAGGATGTGGAGAAGCTTGAGAGGGTCCAGAGGAGGGCCACGCGATTAGAGGCATGAACGACTGGTGCCTCCTGTGACTGGGGGAGCACCATGGTGGTGAGTGGCGAGCGGGAACTGCCTACAGCCTTTGGCAGTGGGGGTGAGCAGGGAGTGCCCACAGACACCATTGGCGGGGAGGAGTGGGGGCAGGTGTGAGCAGTGACCTCCCTCAGAAGCCAGTGGTGGCCAATCTCAGGGGGGCACTATGTGTCACCTGTGATTAGAGGCCTAGAAACCAGGTCATATGAGGAGAGGCTGAAAGACCTGGGACTGTTCAGCCTGGAGAAGAGAGGACTCAGAGGTAACTTGGTGGCAGCTATAAGTATATTGGGGTGTACATCAGGGCCGGGGGGAGCATCTGTTCATCAAGGGCCCCCAGGGAAGGATAAGAAATAATGGGCACAAGCTGATTGAGGATCGCTTCAGGCTAGACATAAGGCAAAACTTCTTTACAAGTCTAGTGCTGAGGGTTTGGAACAGGCTCCCCCCAGAGGTGGTACAGTCATCTGTCCTAGCGATCTTCAAAAAGCATCTTGATTGCCCATCTTGCTGGGGTCATCTGATTCCAGCAGTCTTTGCTGCCCAAGTGCTGGACCCAATGATCTGTAAGGTCTCTTCCAGCCTCTAGCAGCTATGAAACCAGAGGCCCCACACCTGGAGATTGCTGGTACTTGTTCCCCAGCTTCAGGGACACATGTCCATTGCTATAGAAATAGATGGGCGATAAAATACAAATGGTATTTCCCTGCATCCTTGGGCACATGGCTTTTTCCTCCAGCTTCATAAGTCAACATGTCAGACTTGATGTACGAAGAGACTCCTGAGAGAGACTGCTTGGATGAGCCTATCCTCTCATGTGAAAGAAGACCTCTTTCTCAATATGCAGATCTACAGGTGCAGGGCCTCTGGTTACTGGGCATGAGCCTGACCTAAGAGCAGTGCAGGAAGTTTGTAAAGCGTACCTTCCCTGTGTTTGAGGATGATGTGTTTTGATAACATCAGAATGCTGCTACTGTGTTTCACATCAACAGGTCAGGAGGAGCCAGATCCTTACACCTCAGCATAAAGGCATTTTTTCTGTCCATGGTGTTGGTGCATTCAGGATTAGATACATATGTATGGTTTCCATGACCAGAACAGACTGGTCTTCCTCTCAGCAGACTGGTCTTACACCACAAGTGGGAGATCAGATTTGGTTCACAGACTCATCTTTGTGAAAGGAGTCCACCCAGATTGGCACCTGTTTGTGAAGGAGGTTATTAGAAAATATTGTGCCTTCTGCTCCAGGGAAGACCTCTGTGGGTGCATCTATATGTGCACTTTACTGCAGATTAGACTAATTAGTTCCATAGTAAAGCATTACCATCTACAGATGTGTTGGTATTAGGGCACAGTAAATTCATTAACTCTGCCATAAGATAGTACCATCAGGGACAGTACTATCTTGTGTATCCGACTGCAGTTAATTACTCCACCATATGTGGATGGTGACTGTGGGTGTACATTGCACCCAGTCAGCACAGCCAGCTGGGGCCAGACTACTGACTCCTGCCAGCCCTCCACTGCCCTCTGCCACCACCAGAGCTGACCCCCCTCCCCACCTCCCTGTACTATCCACCAACCCAAGCCTGCTCTGCCTCAGCTTAAATTGCTCTAGAGTTTATTGTTTTACCTTAATTGCACGTGTAGATGCACCCTGTTTCACTTAAATGAGGCTCCCTCATAGATGATGTTCTTGTTAACTGGTTGGGAAATCTATATACATTGCCTCCCCTGTGTCTGATCCAGTGAACCCTCTGCAAGACCAGGCAGGATAGGATAGAGGGCACAGACAGAAGTGATAATTTTTGCTCAGTCTGGCCAAAGAAAATGGTCTATAGCTGTGACCAAAAACAAGTGCATGACTGCAGACAGCTTCAAAAATGGCTCATTGGTAAACTTTGAACAATGAACTTCTGTTTGTTCCAGGAGATTGTTGCAACTCAAAGCGCTTCTTCCAAAGCATTCTCAGTTACAGTGGGGAACTGCACTTCTGTCTGCACCCCTAGTTACTCTTGCAATTACCTCTGCTTCCAGAGTACAGTAATATTCTATGCATTCACATGTAAACTCAGCTTTCAGGCCAAATGACCAAGTTATCAGATCTTATTTCCAAAGCCATTAGCATTGATTTATCAGTACACAATAATCCATATTCTAGCAGAGGGGAATGTCACAGAATGAGTGTATTGCATCAAGCAATAACAAAAATGTGGGCATCTTCTGTTTCGGAGAATAGGAGTGTTGTATTTTTCCAAGCGCAGCCATAAGCAAAAATGACTCAAGCCACTGGTGTAGGTAAGAGTGCCACCATGCTGGCCAGCATAGAATATATTTTGAACACAAAGTAGAACTGGGAATTAATTATCATCAGCAGATTAAAGAAACAAGGGTTAAGCATAGCTTCTCATGTGCATATTCTACTTACACAGCCAGATCTCTCACAGGAGAAAACAATATAAAAGCATAATTGAATTTATGCTTTTTCTTTCATAGGAACATAAGAATTTAACACACAGGATTAGATGAATAATCCATTGTCTCTGAGGTCCTGTCTCTGCAATTACTAGCACCGGATGCTTTTCAGGAAGGTGTAATAATGTGCACTTGTGAAGTTATAAGCCCCCTGAAGGTGTCTGTTAATTCCAAATAAATATGGACTTAAACTCTGAAATAAGAAATTTCATCTTTTTTCCAAAATTCTTTTAGCATTAGCTATTGTAACCCTGTGTCTTTGTTGTTACCCAATGCCCAGTTCCTCTTGCTTAATTCTTATCTTCTGCTCCAAGGTAGAGTTCCACAGTCTAATTAAATATTGTGCAAAAAGTTGTTTTCTTTTATCAATTTTGGTAACAGTTTATCAAAATTTGACGTTTCCAGTTTCATTGACAGTCTCCTTTATCTTGCATTATGAGAGAGAAAAAATTCTTCTGATACCATTCATACCATTATACCATTTTTGTCATGTTTCATCTTATGCATATCTTTTCACAGATAATCAGTCACAGCACTTCCCATCTTTATTTAAAAGTGAGGTTTTTTCCCACCTTACCTGTAATCTTTTCTCATTGTACTTTTCTAAATCCCTTTTGATTTTGGAACATTATTTTGACTGGTAGTGAAAATATTTCTAGACCTCATAAAAATGTAGGTGTGTAAGGCAGAGCTGAGGTACCACAGTCCAGAATTGTAATCCAACTCCCCTCCCCTTCCAACCTTGCTGCTGCCTAACCTAACTTTGGAGGCACCTACATTCACTAGGCTCCTCTCTTTGACTTAAAATGTATGTTCCCAAAGTGCCTAGAGTTGCATATCTGAGCATGCCCAGAATTGCCCCAGTCTAAGCAACCTGGCATCTCTCTCGCATCTAAATCTCAACAAAGATCCAGGACCTAGATGCTTCTTCCCCTGGATCCCTCTTCAGGCCTGGTATGATGGGTATTCTCAGAACATGCTTAAAACATGCAGACATTATCAGACTCCTTACAAAAAGTAGTTGGGGCTGGTTTCTTTTAAAGTCAGGATTGAGGAGGATGAGTCCCAAAATAATTCTGGTTACAGCAGTCATGCAGGAAGTGAACCTCCACAGCACGAGGGGTTTAAACCCATGTCTGCTTCTTCGGATAATGCTCTAACTGCTAGGGTACAGGCTAGAATGGAATGGGGGTACTTTCTGCCTCTCCTCTTGAAGCTATGCCTTATGAAAAGGGAATTCAAGATTCCTAGGGTCAGAAAGCAAGCAAGAAGGGGAGGAGATGGAGGTCTGAGTTTGATTTCCTACTCCCGGGATTGTGTCTGTATTTTATTCAAAGGTGGTCAAATGTAAAATTATTCTATAGGTTAAATTAAGATGGTATAAAAAAGGTAAAATTTAAGGGGGTAATTATCATACTAATAACTCAAAGTCTTTATTCTCCAGTTAAATAAACTGCAAGATCTTCACCCGTTGCCTAAAATAATTTTAGAATACCGTCAGGTGAGCTTATTTTCATGAATAATCTATTTTAATTGAAAGCAAGAGTTAACAAGAAAGCTTGCTTCTTCACATGGCTTATATGAGGAACTGCTGGCTAGCATATGCATTAAATGATTCCTTTAAATATTTCTTTCAAAGCACTATGTAAATACATAGTTGAAATTTAAAGTCAGAATGTTCTTCTAGATATGCAATGAACAAAACACCTTTTTAATTTTAACTTAATGTTGTACAAACAGTGAAACAAAATCACTGTGAAACTGGTCAGGATGATATAGTACCCTGTCAATGAGAAAATCAGAATCTAGAATTGGAGTCTGAAGTTCAGAGCAATTTAAAATAGCTTCCAGATCAGTTACTAGGTTTTATTTTTATGAGAGTCTCCTTACAGTCCAACATGGTATCAGTTTAGCTTATCAGTTTTCACTTTTGTGTATCATCTTAGTGCCAGGCTCTAAAACTTTCATATTTTATTATGTACTTAGCTAAATATTTCAGTTCTGATCCAAGACAATGAACTGGGCCATGACTGAATATGACTTACCTATTGAATATGGCCATTATCCTATTTGTTTTGAAGTATGTCTACATTTTAATAGAAAATTCTTACTGATTTGAAAAATCAGAAATGCCATTTGAAAACCCCTTATAATTTACATAATTTAAAATGTTGCTATACTTATCTGTATTACAGGTGCATAAAATAAAATCAACCTATGTGGATGGACTACTTTCATGCATGAAAAAGGTAAGAACATTACTCTGTAACTTTGGAAAGTATTGCTCTCTGAGGCACTGAAGTGATTCTTAATTTTTTTAAAATCATAAATGTTTTTTATATATAGTAATATTAAAAAAAAATATAATCCATTATTCTACTTTATGCAAATCTCAGTAACATAGTGTTTAGACTTCAGAGTAAAATTTCATTTTCATATATTAAATTTTGTATTTGGGCATCTTATTAGTTTTATCTGATTTTTGTTTCTAACTTGGTTAAAGGGATTTCTTTCATCTACATGGAATCAAACAGGAACTGTGACTGGAAGACTTTCAGCAAAGCATCCGGTGTGTGAGTTTTAGAAGACTTTTTTCTTTCAAAGAAAAAGTGATAAAAATGCATTTCATTGTCAGCCTTCTCCAATAGAGGGCTCTTAGTCAGCTAAATTTGCGTATATTTGTTTCATGCTGAACATGCCCATCCCAGTTTTCTTTTTAGTAATCAGGGGTGCCATCAGTAGACTTGCATGGAAATATTGTAAGTAGGGCTATCAAACAATTAAATTTTGATAGCAGTTAGATGCACAATCAAAAATAATGGTTTCAGTTAATTGCAACTTTAATCACACAGCTAAAAATTCAAAATTATGCACAGAAAAATGCAGTTATGCCAAATTATGCAGGTACTTTGTGTGGTTGGGGAGTGGGGTGTGTGGGTGTGGTAGGGGGAATTTGTGAAATTGTGGGGGACTGTGGAGGTGTGTGGGGGGTTTGGAGCCTGGGGAAGAGGGTTCCTGCATATTCTGGCAGGATGTGTGGGGTACTGTGGGTCCAGAGTGAGGGGCAGCAGCAGGGCTGGGGGGACTGTGGCTTGGGAGTTGGGGCAGACAGATGTGCTGACAGATGCATGCACAGACAGACACCACCCAGCAGGTAAGTCTGCTGGGGGCAAGGGGCGTGGAGGCAGATCAAGACCCCCATGGTGAGGGAGGGAGTGGGGCTGGGGCAAATGGGGCCCCAGGGCCGGGGTGGGTCATGGGACGGAGCCATGAGCAGCTTGCCCAGGGGGAGGGGGGCTCCCGCTGCTGTGCACACCCCAGGGGAGGCATGGGGTGCATGTGCCCCCTGGATTTGTGTATGGGGTGGAGGCGGGCTGCTGCTGGAGGCTGGGGCTCTGCACCCTGCTGCCTGTCCATGGTTCTGTCCTATGACCCACCTTGGCCCCAGGGCCCCATTTGCCCCAGCCCCTGACCCCACTCCCTCCCTCACCATGGGGGCCTCAATATTCCCTCGCGCACGCCCCTTCCGTCCCCCATGCCCCGCCCCTTCACAGATTTGCCTGCTAGGTGCTGTTCCACACACCACCCAGCTGTGTTCCTGACCACAGGAAGGCTGCATCTGTGTCTGTCTGTGCATGCCCCTCCCTCTCCACCCCCCTTGGCCCCTCCCCCCCACTGCAGCCTCCCAGAGCCTGTGCCTGGGCGGCCCTGCGGTCTGCTGTGCTGCTACCACTGCTCCACAGAGTGGCCTAGAGGCAGTGGTGATGGCAGCTGAGCTGAACATAGGTACAGGTTCCAAAACCACATGCATGATTAATGCATTAATAGTTGTTCAAGTTAATTTTTTTAATGTGTTAATTGTGATTAACTCATGCAGTTAGTTGACAGCCCTAATTGTAAGTAGATGGGAAGCAGAAACACAATTTTATAGATAGGTAGATTTTGCATTCCAGAGACTATCTGTTTTAAGTAATATTGGCAATTACCTTTAGATCAGAATGTAATAGTCATTGTTAATATTAATGTTTGCTAAAAAGCTATATCTCTATTGTCAGTCTGGCCTATGTAACTTCCATTTCTTTGGGGGTACTTTTCCACAAGTGTTTTAAAAAAAAAAAGAAAAAAAAAGGCATATGCACAGTATATACACAAATCTAGATTCTTCTGCTTGTTGGGCTTGTGCCTGTGCCTTGAATGTGCCTCCAACAGAAGCATAAAAGTTTGAGTGCTCTTTTAATTCATTTTCTTTCTTTAGGGCTATTAGCAGACCAGGGAATTTGGGAGCCTGGCTTTGGGGTGGTGCTTGCCACAAAATCTGGGACCCTACTGGACATGGCCCTGTGCAGACACAGCCCTGCTCACCCTGTGGCTGGTTAGCCCACAGCCACTGCCATCGCTGTTTGTGCTACCTCCACTGTGGCAGGCTGGTTGGCCCTTGGCCACTTGCCCAACTGCCTCCACCACTGGTCTCACCAAAGCTGCTGTACTGCTGGTCCCATCACAGCCACTGGTACCCTGTGCATCTGGCCCATGAGAAGCCCCGCAGTGCAGACCCAGCCTAAGTCACAGGGTAAATTTGACATGCCTAGTGTAAATAGGTGTAAATACTTAGGGGGATTTATACACATACCTTTTCATCCTGTAATGTGCTGGACATCCGGTGGGTCGGAGCAGACTCGATTAATTGAGTCTGCTCTGCATATGAGCTGCATCACATTCAGTTGTGTAAGAGGCAAAATTCACGTCAGCATGCAGAAAATGGTGGTGGCATGCTTTTGAACTAAAACATCTTATTTTTGGCTGAACACATTTCCAGACTTTAAAGACTGCCCTCCACCCGAGGCTGTAGTGTCTCTAAATCCAGAGATGCATAACTCAAACTCTGAGGGCCATTTACAAGGTTCACCTTCTGGAAGGGGCTGGGGCTGAGCCAGGTGCATGGCGGTGGCGCTGTGAGGGAGCTACAGTGAAATTTGAGGTGGATGTAGCTCCCGCCCCAAGCCCAAACCCCAGCAAGAAGAGCCTGGTGCAGCCCTGACTCCAGCCTGCAGCTGCAACCTGCTCCACCCCGCGCAGATCCAGGGGCACAACCCTCCTCCACCCGTGCCCTCCTGAGGTGCAAGCAGCATCAGGAACCACTCCTCCCTGACATGTCATGGATCTGTCCCATGCTCCAACCTGCCCCAGCACCTGCCCCTGGCCCCTCCCTCACTGTGGGGCGGGGTGGGGTTGATCTGTTCCACCATGCTCCATCCCTCCCCTTCCACCACAATGGACTGACCAGCAGCACACAGCTCTCCATGCTGTATCGGAAATCGGATCGATATTGGCCAATATGCCTGCTTAAAAATAAGATATTGGTATCACCCCCAAATATCTCTATTGGTGCACCCCTATCTGGCACTGATATCAAAGAGAGCAGACTGTTGCAACCAAGGTTTTTTCTAGGACTGAGTAGTTTTATAAATGCCTCTTATCATGGTCATCGGTGAGTCATTCACTGACATGAATGAGATTTGCTTAAAGTCAATATAAAGCAACAGGACAAGATGTGAAACCCCTGAATTTGATTTATTTGGATGGTAAAATTACTTATCATCAATCCTCCAAATGAAAGAGCCCATTACAAGAGGTTTTGGTAAGATGTGGCTATTTGAATTCCATATATGAATTTGCAGACAAGCTTCCTTAAAGGAATAGTGAAGAGTTTAAGTTGTTCATTGCTGAAAGTCAGATTGTGCTGTGTGAATGATTGTGCATTCATATAATATGCCATTGACACTGGACATACCTGCCTGATGCATGGTGACTTCAGTTGCTATGGAGACATTTTCCTAGCTCCACCTCTCAGTGATTCGGAAAGAAGTTTCAGATAACAGTTGAGTAGCTCTTATTTGGGATATGTTTCAGCACTGAAAAAATGTACATATTTCCTTTTCTTTGGCTGGGTTTAAAGGTCTTTTTGTTTTGATCCAGGAATACTGACCCCTGGCAATCTTGTTGTGAAGTGTAAGTCCTTCAGAGAATCCAGGGCCTCATAGAACATTAGAAAATGGTTACGAAAGGGTCATTTAGTTCATTCGCTTTCTCCAAGGCAGGATTAAATTTACCCGAACTATTCCTGGCAGAAGTTTTCTTATCTATTCTTTAAAACCTCCGGTAATGGAGACTCCATACCTTTTCCAGGTAATCTATTCAAATCCTTAACTATCCTCACAGTTACAAAGCTTTTTCTATATTCTCATGCTTCCTTGCTGTAATTTAAGCCTGTTTCTTTTTGTCCTATCCCTGGAGGATATAAAGAGCAGCAGAATCCTTCAGAATTTCTACTTTGAATATAGGCAGCCTGAGCTGCCTTGAAAGTGTCAAAAATTTCCCTGCAGGAAGTCGTTCGGATCTATTATCATATCTGTTTGCCATCATTGACTTCTTATCATATAGCAGCATGTCTGTTTTGAATTTCCCAGTTATATCTGTACTAATTGGGGATCATGTATTTCAATTCTCTGAGGTCTAGAATATCATTACTAGAAACTGCTGGGTTCTGGGAATAGCCCCTACGGGATCTGCTCCAGATGGGGGTCTGGGGCAGATCAGCTGGTGCAGGGATGCTCCTCTGCCCAGTGATCAGGGTGGCGGGTCCCTGCTTGAGCTGATCTGCCCTGCTCTCTGCTGGAGCCAGCTAGGTGGGGGCCTGGAGTAGATCAGCTGCTGCGGGGATGCTTCCCCACTAGGGATTGGGGTGGCAGGTCCCTGCCGGAGCTGATTTGTCCTGCCCCCTACCAGAGCCACTCCAGGTGGGGGCCTGGGGCAGATCAGCTAGTGAGAGGATGCTCCCCTGCCTCAGGATTGGGGTGGTGGGTCCCCACCTGTGTTGATCTCCCCCAGCCCTGCTGGCCCCAGGTGGCAGCACCTGGCTCCTGTCAGCCAACAGGCAGATCAGGGCCTGCTAGCACCCCTGGGAGGGCTGCAGGGGCTGTGCTGGAGTCTTCCCGCAGGGGCTGTGCTGATCTGGCAGGCAGATGTTATGCTGTGGCATAAGATACACACCTGTTTTTTTTTTAAATGCAGAATGAAGAAATAAAGATCTTTCTTTATAGTGAGTAACTAAGTAGCAGCAGCTAGGGAGATGAGCCTGCTTATTGTTCTGCTCCCTGTGGATCACATGTGGATTTACTTTCAGGTTTGCCTGACAAAAGCTTGAGTGTCATAAACTGCTGTTATGTTTTTTTCCTGGCATATAATGCACACCCTATTTTCCAGCAGCTGGTTTTTGGTGAAAAATGGTTTGTGAGAAAATGCAGTAGGTTTTTTTTTGTTGTTGTTTTTTTGGGTTTTTTAATAATTCATACCCAGATTTGTTTAATCTCTATCTCATCCTACTGCACAGTGGTATCACTTTTGTTTTTGTCTCTTTATTTATGTAGAACACTTTGCTATTT